CTTTCAATGACCAAAGACCTGGCAGAAAACGCCCCAAGTGGAGTCCAGCAGCAAACTGGGAACGGGACACCTGATGTCTCCCTTCTCCAGAGGGTGCACCGGGCGGCGTTGGGGGCTTCAGGGACACAGATGCTGTGCAACAGCCTGGGGGACTATCGGTTTCCCGGGCACGTGGGCAGGCTGCTGGACTCTGCCTCCTGCAGGAACATTCCACTTTCCAAACATGAACTCCTGCTTTTATGGAAATGATGCACGCGCACAGTTGTACACAAAGGGAAGCCTACTTAAAGGATCCCACTGAAAACTGAACCTCCCCTCTACCCCTTACTCTGCTAACAGCGCCCACGCGTTCATTTAGAATATGCTGGAGGGACTCCCTCACCACACTCTGACTGCCGGGGCCCAGTTACGGCACCCACGCTGTCTTGGCTCCGCGATATGGAGGAGCCTCTGCCCTGTGCGCCATCCACACAGGCAGTCAGACAGTGCCAGTGCTGGGGGCGGGCAGAGCAGGCGAGGGGAGGGCACGTGGTCACACCACATGGGCGGTCTGAGAGGGCGTCCGTGTAGGGAACAGCAGACATCATGTGGCCAGCGGACGGAGGGTGATACAGTTTTGTGGGATGCTGTCTTGACCTGTGTTGAGGCCCCGGACAGCGGCCAGTCAGTTCCCCTTCTGGGCCTGCTGTTTCAGTCCACACCCCATCCCAGAATGCTCACATTCCACCTGCTCTAGGGCAACGTGTCAAATAGCTGGGGACAGCCCCCTGCCACCCCACAGCTGTGATTATTCTAATTAGACAATCCACAGGGATCAGGAAGTCTAGCAAACCCCATCCGAAGTGCCACAGTTACCAAGTCCCAGGGCTCCTGCCTGCAGCTACCTGTCCCCAGGTGCCACCCCCTGGTGCCCGCAATGGCAGCCTTCTCTCCTTGGGAAATGTGATTAACAGCTCCTCGGTTAATCCATCCCCAGGTCCCTGCATCGTGTCCTGCCATCTGAAGAACCACCTGTCGTGGGGTCAACTCCCACTCTCACGTGTGTCCAGGCAGAACTGGCCTGCGTTGGGTTTTCAATGGGTGATGTTTTGGAACTAGCTCACCAGGTCTTTCCTCAAGGCACTATGGGTGGACTCACACTTCCAGCCGTGTGATTCGCAGTCAAATGCTTTAACTGTTAAGTGCTCAGGGATGCCCCCCTTATGGAAAAGAATTTTTATATAAAAAAAATTTTTTTAAGTGGTACAGGATCAAACATCTTCATCTGTTCCTAGAGTACCAGACCTGTGACTTTATCAGCATGGTTCTTAGGACGAGATGCAACTGATTGGGTGAAAGCCCCAGAGTTAAAAACTCTCTGAGGAAACAACAGCACCAGTGCTGGCCAGATGAGAGCAGACGCAGGAGGCATGGGGGTAGCTGCCGTTTGGAAATACTTGACTTTGTGTCCTTACTGCATTTTTCAGGCATTTTCCACAGTGGCACTAATAACCAGGTCACCTTGGCAGGTCATCGTGTGCTGGGATTTATCCTGAGGGCGGAGTGGAACTAAAGGAATTGGATAATAGTTCCAGCAAATTAGAATGGAAATATTTGAAAGCCCAATTCACACACTCGCAGTTCTCACCAGATGAGAGCTATGCTAATTGCGCTGAACAAGGGAGAAAAGAATTACGTGTCAGTACTGGGCACACGTCTTAGTCTAACAGGATTAGAACATTTTCCTGTACACACGGGACTGATTTCCATGCTCTCAACCACCTAGGAAATCCCTCGCATCACTGCCGCTGAGCAAGAGAATGTTTAGCTAAAATCTTACAGGTCAAGACAGGCCCGAGATTTAGAGGATGCTCTCATCCTGTGGGTCTCTGGTTAAAGACATGCCTTTAACCCACTAGAAGGAACTCCAAACACGGAGGCACAGGCACTCTTGACTGTGACTGGATGCCTGCAGCCTCTTCTAACTGGGCACCTGAACTCCCAGCCTGTGCCGCGGGCTGGGCTGAGAGAAAGACACCCCTCACTCTGCGTCTCACCCACACCTACCTTTGTATAAGTTATTTCCTTCCTCCATTGCCTGAAGGAAAAGGCTCGGGGACATTTTCCACCCCTCCTCTTCTTCCTGTTCAAAGCAGAACCGTATTTTTGTTAATCACAGGCCGACTTCATCTATGGAAGCGAGACAGAAAAAGGTAAGGCTGTCAGTGGTTAAGGCATTTGGCTGCTAACCAGAAGGTTGGTGGTTTGAACCCACCAGCCCCTCCATGGATGAAAGATGAGGCAGTCTGCTTCCGTAGAGGCTGACAGCCTAGGAAACCCAATGAGGATCGCTGTGAGTTGGAATCGACCCAATGGTGCTGAGTTTGGTTGGGTCGTAATTACTGTGTGGTAGTAAAGCACACTGGGAGCCCTGGTGGTGCAACAATTAAGCACTTGGCTGCGAACGGAAAGGCTGCTGGTTTGGACCCACCCAGCGACTCTGCAGAAGAGAGAGCTGGTGATCTGCTCCCATAAAGATGACAGCCCAGGGAACCCTAGGGGTCAATGTCTACATACAAGGTCGTGATGACGCAGAACCACTCGACAGACCTCCCGTCAGCGAGGAATAGCCTCTTCTTCCTTTTTCATTTTTTTTGCTCTTTGTGACAAAACATGGATCACAAAACATTTACCATTTTAACTATTTTTTTTAAGTTTCATTTATTTTGTTGTTGAGAATATACACAGCAAAATATAGGTCAACTCAACAGTTTCTGCCCATACAATTAACTGACTTGCATTATATTCTTCAAATTGTATAACCGTTCTCACCCTTCTTTGCAGTTCCTCCCTCATTAGCATAAATTCACTACCCCCTAAGGCTTGATTTCCTCTTCACATAATCTCATAAGGGAAGCCCCATCGTTATGCCTTTCACTTTATAAACCAGGAAACCGAGGCTGAGAGAGGTGAAGTGACTCACCCAAAGCCACAAAGCTAGTGTGTAGCAGAGCCAGTTTCTGCTTTGGACAGAGGTGGCTGAGCTGGGATGTGGGCGGCAGTGAGCCCAGGGGCCTGAACTTGCAATGAGCTCGAGGCTTGGGACCGAATTCAGAGACTTCTTGGAACAGAAATGTCTGACTCGGTTGTAAGTTACTTCCTGATCTGATCTTCCACATCATTGTAACGATTTTTAACCGCACAATTCTGTGTTGTCCATTTTCAAACATTTTTAATTCCCCTCAGTGGAAACTCAGAACCCATTAAGCCAGACACAAAAAAACCGCACTTCACACAACTGCTTGCATGTGAAGTGTCCACAACAGCCCAATCCACAGAGAGAGAAAGCAGACTGGTGGTTTCCAGGGCCGGGGGTGGGGAACGGATGACTGCTTGGTGGGTACAGAGTCTCTGCTGGTGGACGGAACGTTCTGGAACTAGACGGGGTGGTTGCACATTATAAATGTACTGAATACTACTGAACTGCATGGGAGCTCTGGTAGAGTAGTGCCTAAGGCACCTGACTGCTAACCAGAAGGCTGGCGGTTCAAACCCACCAGCCACTCCTTGGAAGGACGATGGGGCAATCTACCTCTGTAGTGATAATGCCTTGGAAACCCAAGGAGGGGTCACTATGAGTCGAGTCTGACTTGATGGCACATAACAACAACAACAGCATGCTTCAAAATGGTTCATTTTACGTTATGTGAATTTTACCACTGTTTTTTTTTTTTAATTTTTATTGCGATTTGGGTGAAAGTTTACAGAACAAATTCACTTTCCATACAGCAGTTCACTATACTTTGTCTCATGACATTGACTACAATTCCTCACAGTGCAACAGCTCCCCTCCCATTTATTCCCCATAGTTACCTCTTCCCTGTGTCCTTCCCTCCATGCACCCCTGCCCCCTGAGCTGTCTCCCTGTGCACACACAGCCCTTCTATTCTCCCATGATTGTTGTCTCCAAGGAAGGTATCTACCTCAGGTAAACATTCAGCTCATATGCCTGTCTTTTGTTTGGCTGGAAGTCACAGGTATGGGTTCTATTCCAGACCTGAAGGGCAGCTAGGGGTCATAGTCTCAGGGGTCCATCAGTCTCTATTAGACCAGCAAACCTGGTCCTTTTTTTTTTTTAATGACTTTGAGTTTTGTTGCACATTGTTCTCCCACTCTATCCAGGATCTCCTACTGCGATCCCCCTTTGAGTGGTTGACAGTGGTAGCCAGGCACCATCTAGTTCTTCTGGTCTTATAATTGTATAGGCTGAGGATCGCATGGTGTACCAGTCGCTAGGACTAATTGTTTCCATGTGTCTTTGGTTTTCTTCATTCTTCTTTGTTCTGGATGAGACAAGACCCATCACATCTAGATGGCCACTTGCAAGCTTTTAAGATCCCAGTCGTTGTTTGCCAAAGTAGGAGGTGGAACAATGTTTTTTGTGTAGTATGTTATGCTAACTGAGCTTGATGTCCTCTGTGACTATGGTCCTGAGCCCACACAGGTCCAACTACTCACTCCCTCTGGGTAGCTCACTGTGGCCAAGAAGTGACTACAACCTTGTCCCTTGTCAGCTCTACTATATACCTGGGAATTCTTACAGAACATACAAATACACTTGAAACATTGTCTGCCAACCCTATACATAGTCATGGGCACACTCCCCCCTGCATAGACATACCTAATAGTTCAGCCTGTCCACCCATCTATCCACCCGTATATCCATGTTTGCCTTCACTGACAATGCAGTACTGTATGTGGAAAACGGTTCATCTTTGTTGTCTGTACCTACCATGTACCTCTCTGTCTTCCTCTTCCTCAATGCCACCATGTTGATCACTCACATTTGGTACGTTGCCTTTCCCTTCACCCAAATCAATACTTGTCTCTACCTGTCTTACAGTGTTCCTTCCCCTCCCCTCCCACCTCTGGTAACCCACAAAGAAAATTTCCTTCCATATATAAACCTTTCCTTGACTTTTTACAATAATGGACTAAATACAATATTTGTCCTTCTGTGATTGACTTATTTCATTCAGCATAATGTCCTCCAAGTTCATCCATGTTATGAAGTGTTTTGCAACTTCTATGTTATTCTTTAGGGTTGCATAGTATTCCATTGTGTGCTGTACCATAGTTTGGTTATCTATTCTTCTGCTGATGGACACCTAGGATGTTTCCATCTTTTTGCTATGTAAATAGTGCTGCGATGAACATGGGTGTGCATATGTCTGTTCTTGTCATGGCTCTCACTTCTTTAGGATATTTACCTAGTAATGGAATGGCTGGCTCAAATGGTAATTCTAATTCTAACTTTTTAAGGAATCACCATACTGCTTTCCACCATGGTGCTATCATTTTACAGTCCCACTAGCAGTGCATGAGAGTTCCAATCTCTCCTTATCCTCATCAGCATTTGTTATTTTCTGTCTAGTTGAACTTTGCTACCAGTGCTGGGGCAACATGGTATCTCATTGTTTTGATTTGCATCTCTCTAACGGCTAATAATTATGAGCATTTCTTTATATGTTTGTTGGCTGCCTGAATATCCTCTTTGGTGAAGTGCCTATTCATGTCTTCTGCCCATTTTTTAATTGGATTATTTGTCTTTTTATAGTTGAGGTGTCAGAGTTTTCTATAAATTCTAGAGGTAAGCCCCTTGTCAGATATGTCATTACCAAATATTTTTTTCCCAATCTGTAGGTTCTCTTTTGTCTCTTTTGGATAAGTCTTTGGAAGCACATAAAATTTTAATTTTTAGAAGGTCCCATTCATCTAGTTTCTCTTCTGTTGTTTGTGCATTTTGCGTTATGCTTGATATTCTATTTATGCCATATATTTAGAGCCCCTAAATTTGGCCCTAGTTTTTCTTTGAGGAGCTTTATAGTTTTTAAGTTTCACATTTAAGTCTTTGATCCATCTGGAGTTAGTTTTTGTGAATAGTGTGAGGTACAGATCTTGTTTCATTTTTCTGCAAATGGATATCAGTTTTGCCAGCACCATTTGTTAAACAATCTCTTTCCCACTGAATGGATTTTGGCCCTTTGTCAAAGGTCAGCTGACCATAGGTCAATGGATGTATTTCTGGGTTCTCAATTCTATTCCATTGGTCTATGTGTCTGTTGTTGTACCAATACCAGGCAGTTTCGACTACTGTGGCTGTATAGCAGGTTTTGAGATCCAGGAGTGTGAGAACTCCTACTTTGTTCTTCTTCAACAGTGTTTTGCTTATCTGAGATCTCTTTCCTTTCCATGTAAAGTTAGTGATTGTTTTTTCCATATCCTTAAAGAATGTTGATGGGATCTGGATTAGGATTGCATTGAATGTATAGACTGCTTTGGGTAGAACTGCCATTTTCACAATGTTCAATCTTCCTGTCCATGAACATGGTATGTTCTTCCACTTACATAGATCTCTTATGATTTCTTGAAGTAGTCTTTTATAGTTTTCTTTGTATAGGTCTTTTGCGTCCCTGGTAAGATTTATTCCCAAGTATTTTATGTTTTTGGTAGCTATTGTAAATGGTACTGATTTCCTTATTTCTTTTTCAGCAATCTCTTTGCTGGTGAGTTTTACCACAATTTAAAAGTACATGTGCATCCCGAGAACAGCCCCTCTGGGCCTCTGAGTGTTTGGTTTGCTCAGCTGGAGTAAACGCTGGCCAGCTGACACCTGTTGGAGGGTGTGGTTATTCTTCGCTGTCCCAAGTCCTCTTTATGTCACCGCAGTCCACTGTGTCTGCTCATTAGCATTATTTTTAGAGCCATTTTAGGTTTAGAGAAGAATTATGCAGACATCACAGAGGGTCCCACATGCCCCTCTCTGCAGTTTCTCCATATCCTGTCTTGGTGCCTGTGGCATGTGTGTTACGACTGATGAACCGTTGTCGGTACACTGTTACTCACTGAAGCCCACGGTGCACAGCAGGGGTCACGCTCTGTGTTGTATGGTCCTGTGGGCTTTGACAAATGCTTCATGTCATCAGTCCACCATGACAACATCATATAAGACAGCTTCGCTGTCCTGAAGATGCCCATGTGCCCCCTGTCCATCTACCCCTGAGGTGTCTCTGCAGTCTTGTCCCTTCCAGAATGTCACAGGCTTGGGATCAACAGTATGTGGCTTTTTCAGACTGACTCCCTCACTTGGCAGTCAGGTTCCTCCGTGCCTTTCCATGGTCTGGGAGCAGGCTGTTTTTCATGGCTGCACGTTGCCCTGCTGTATATGGACACAGCTTCCTCGTTAGTGTTTTGTCTACACTCTCTGGATGCACAGGGACCAGCCTTTAACTCACTTTGTGAGTCATGTCCTTAGAAAAGGGATGTTGTCTGTCAGCACTTTGCAGCGTGCTTGCACGTTAGTGTGACATGTCACTGCTGAAATGGGAGACGTCATTGTGAAAGCCTCCAGGATCCCCGTGTGTGTCCCATGTGCTGACAAGTGCTGTGCTGGTCCCTGCTTCGGTCCCAGGCTGGTGGGAATTTTACTCCACAAACATGGAATAATGTGCGGATGATAACACAATGCTCACTGCAGGGCCTGGAGATCTCTCCGGCTTCATGAGCAAGCGTGAGACCATGCGAAGCGGACCTCTGGCACGAGGCTGCTCCCATCCACAGCCTGAGCACATGCAGACTCGGCCACATGCTTCCTATTCCAACAAGCACAACTCGGATCAGGCTACATGTCTGCTCAAGAACCAGCTGTGGCTCCCCACTGCCTCCCAGAACCCAATGCACAGGGCATGGCTGGTGCCAGTTTATGCCTCCCTCTACCCCCAGCCCTCCTCTGTGTGCTCCACCCTGGACTCCTGGCCAAGCTCTGAGGCCATTCTGCGTGTCCCAGCTTGGCTTTTGCTTAGTAGTTTCTTACTTCCACACCGGCAGTTAGGGCCCTGGGGACACTCCAATGGACAAGGGACTCCTGTCTTCCCAGAGCTCTCAGAGAAGTGGGGGGTCTCTTGGGACTTGGCAACTTCAGTGTGACAAAGGGAAGTCCAGGGGAGTGCTCACTTTGTGAGGGGCGAGGGAAGGCCTCCCTGGAACCACAGCGTATGAAACGTTTGGGAGGCTGTCACCAGGCGATGAGGTCACCTACCCTGCAGAACCTGAAAACCCAGGGAGCAAGGAGTCCCGCCCTCCTGGACTCCCAGCAAAGCAGAGCTCACTGGCTAAGAAGCACTGGTCATACATGGAGCTCAGAGTTGGCCACTGCCCGTGCATGGCTTCTGGGGGACACAGGCAGTTGAGAAAACCCTGCAACTGAGGCCAGAGAGAGAGCAGCAGGTCCTTGGAGGAGAGAGAGGAAACTCCAGACAGAGGGAAGCCACAGCCCCAAGTGGTGTCTGCGGATGCCGGTCACTGTCTGCATTCCTTCTGTCTGACTCCCTTCTCAATTACCAAGAGGCATAGATCTTTATTACTTTATAGTCAGTGTTTTGACATCCACTCTGATGGACAGAATTGTGTCCCCCCGAAATATTGGCTGAGCCGTCGTTCTCAGTATTATGTAACTGTGCTCTGTTTTGTGATCTGATGCAATTATCCTATGTGTTGTGTTGTAAATCCCAACCTCTATGATGTGAATGAGACAGGATTAGAGGCAGTCATGTTAATGAGGCAGGATGTAATCTACAGGATGAGGCTGTACCTTGAGTGAATCTCTTGTGAGATATAAAAGAGATTCAACAGACCTGCTGAGATGGAGGGACCTCAGCACCACCCAGAAAGCAGAGCCAGGAGTGATGCTTGTTTTTTAGATCTGGGTTCCTGTGCTGTGAACCTCCTGGACCCAAGGGAAGACTGATGCCTCACCTGGATTCCTTAGTCTCACTTGGACTCGGGCATCGGGTCCTAGGGTATGGACACAATGGCATCTATAGTGGACCAAACCTACCAGGGGTCATGGAGATGGTGTGGGACTGGGCAAGCATTCATTCTGTCACACAGAAGGTCGGCATGCGTAACAGTAGTGACAGAAATTAGGTATTATATGATCCTACCTCATAAAAAAGGAGCTCAGGTGGCACAGTGGTTAAGGCATTTGGCTCCTAACCAAAAGGCTGGTCGTTTGAACCTACCAGTTGCTCTGAGGGAGAAAGATGAGGGAATCTGCTTCTGTGGAGACTGACAGCCTTGGAGACCCTGTGG